TCACATATAAGCATTTTGACACTATTGTTCTCTTCTGATTTTGAGTTTTGATCTTCCCTATTGCCATAGTAGCTTTCTATGGTCAGGGCTCTTTTTGGTTTTTTGCTTATTTTTTAAAGTTAAGCTCTTCTCCAGGGCACAGGGCCCAAGCTTCTTGTGCTGGGGCCAGGGATCTGGTCACTGGCTTTCTGCATGGGGGCTTCAAGTGCTGGTGGCTTGCCCACTGTGCTGGAGTGGTTCAGCCTACTCACACCTGTTGTGTAAGGGTTTTGGGACTGGCCATTTGCCATCTATGGCATCTAGGGCTGGAAACCTCACAATTGGCCTGCTGTGCCATTAGCCTGCTGAGCCAGGGGCCAAGGGCCTTTGTTGCTGTTCTATGGCTAAGAGCTTCCCATTGGTTTGCCCAGACACCATCTGTGCTGGGCTGTGCTCCCCTTTTACCCAAGTGGGACAGACCTTTCCTGAAGTCCTTGTAAGTTATCTTAAGCTGGAAATTTGTTTCACTCTGTCTTTTTGTGGGTTCTGTCACTCCAGAATCCATGTAGAGGCTTGATTTAACATTGTTTCTAAGGGAAACTGGGGAGAGCTCAGGCAACTTCCTGGCTTCTCTCCATCATCTTGGCTCAGCCTATGTGAATGTTTAATCTATTTTTTCAGTCTTAAATATGATGTCATCCCTGTTTTCTTTTGTGGGAAAAGCAATACCATTGCCTCTCTAATTTTTTATATATCTTTTATATACCACCCATCTTTTCTATAGCCTTGTATTGGGCTATGGAACAGTCATAAGAAGTATTAGGTATGATCCTTATCCTGAAAGCCATGAGGAGACAGGACCCCTGTAGCCCATGAAAGACCATAAGAACACTTAAATGTTAATATTACCAAGCAATATAAGTGAATAGGGTGCAAATCGAGCACTTTCATGCTGAGTGGAAACCTAACACAAGAACTTATCAAAATAGAGTAAATTAGGAAACACGAGTAGAAGAGGAAAAATGTGAAACATTCAGAAGGGAGAACATAAGTTAGCAAAGAAAGTCCTGGAGAATGCCAGATTTAGGAAAGCAATCTATACAAAAGTTCACAGAAAGAAACAAAAAAGTCATGTGTACTGAATAGGAAACAAATGAAAAATGGCCAATCTTTTTTTTAAATGAAAAAATAATGAATACAGAAAAATCTGGGAATATTTATATGAAGTGATGCAAGGTAGAGAAGTAGAATCAAATACATATAGCAATTACACAAGTTACAACAATAGTAATAACAGAAAGAACCCCTAAAAAATACAGAATAAAAAGATGTCATAAAGAGATATGGAAGAAAACAAGGCATTTCACTATTTGTAACAATTTCACGTACACATTTTTAACAAATTTTAGACTTGGGGTTTTATGAACTTTTTATTTTGCTTATTATTTTAATTGTTTTGCTAATTCCTACTAAGTTTATTATTTAAAAGTCTAAAGATTAAGAAAAAGTATAGCAACTATAAATAATATTAAATAAATATCAAATATTACATTAATTTTAAATTAATATTAATAATATTAAATAAATAAAAATAAATAATAAAAGTATAGCTAAAATAGAGAAGCTAAGTCATAGGTTCAATATAAAAATAACTAAAGATGATTATAAAATCCCTGCAGCCCATGCTCTCTGATTATCCCTTCTGAAATCTCTTGACCTTCTATCCCAAATTCTTAGCTATCTCACAAAAGTCCCAACTAAAGCAAACTAATTGTCTATATAGGGAATTCTCCTCATTAGGGTGATGAAGTTGTCTAGAGACTGAAGGCTCCAAGGAACTTAAAAAGACACAATGATTGTGTTCCATTTTTACATGATCTCTTCTATATGAAGGAGTCAATTTCCAAATTAGGCTGGTGCAGACACCATCTCCCTTCACTTGGTTGTTTCTTAAAGTCCAAAGTCAGATACCATCTCTTCAGCTATATATTAGAAGTGCCCTGCAGAGTTCTGAAGGAATCAAGGATTCACTCTCTGCAAAAAGAAATATTCACATATGGGTTTGTATTTCTGCATATGTGTTTATATTATGTTATTTCAGGGTATGTATATTTACACATACATATATATGGGTAACAATATGGGCTCATCTTTATGTGTAATTAATAATGCATGTTAATGTGTACATGTTATTATGCTGTTTTAAATGTTCGTGTGTACATTTGTGTGTATGTTATGTGGATTTGTATGATTTTGTTATTCATGTTAGAATGTCATCATATGCATTTATGCTTTTTATGTATTTTTGTGGTCTTGCATTTATTTGTGAATATGCTTATGTGACTATTTTATCACACTTGAGATGAGACCAAAGAGGTAATCAAACTCTTGAACAACCAATGGAGTTTCTGTCTCTTTCTCTTTCTAGAGGCTCCTCCAAATACAAGAGAGCCAGGATACTTTATCTGCTGACCTGAAATAGAGGCAAGGGGACTGAATAATAAGAGGTTTTCATGGTCCTTTCCTTCCCTAGAGGTCTTAAATTTAAGTCATGAGAAGTAGAAAGGAAACTAGGCAAAATCTAAGCACATCAAGTTGGGGGTTAATCAAAGAGAGGAAGAGGAGTACAAAAAAACAAAAGGGAAAATGAGAAAGGAGGTAGAATAAAGGGTAGGGGAAAAGATAGAAAATGAAAGCTAAATAGAAGAGAAAGTTAAAAGAATAGAGGAGAAAAAGAACAAAAAATGTAGAAAGAGATAAAGAACAAAAAAGAAAAATGTTGGAGGACAGAGTCCCTTGACCAGGAAAAGACTTTTTCATAACATGAGGAAGAAGCTGATTTCTAGGTGTGGTTATTACAAAGTGCCAGAAGATGAGGGTAAGATATCCCTTGCCTACTACACAGGATAGTAAAGCACAAAATACAGAAAAGTTTGAATGGCAAAAGAAGGGCTGAAAAGATTCAATCTCCCACCTTAAAGGGAAGCCAAAAATAAAAGGTCCCTCTCTCTTTCCATATACTCTCTCCTGTGGGGAGATGCCAAAGAAAAACAAAAGATAGTCCTTGCCCTTGAATTGTTTGGAATCTACGGTCCAGGCCTGTGATTTCATCATTATAGGGAATTGCTGGGGTGGAAACTTCCTCTACCTATGCAGAACAGGACCCTATCCATAACTTAGGGTCACAGAGAGTGCTTTAGAGCACTGAGTGAATTGTCCATGTTCACACAGGATGTGCCACAAGTGAGACTTTATCCTAAGTCTACCTGACTTCAAGTCCAGCTCTCTACACCAGGTTCTACACCTCTCATTTACAAAACACATTGGGAAACAAAACACAAAGAGGAGATGAAGAAATTATTACAAAACAATATATCAACAAGTACAAATAAACACAGTTCACAGAACATAGAACAGAGGAATCAAGAAAAGCTTTCTGAAGAAAAGACAATAGAAACTACATCCATATATCCCCTTGAATGGTCTGACTCGCATGGGGTGATCATCAGTCAATGAGAAACTACCAAATTCCTATTTTGCTGATGAGCAACATTCTCTAGTTAATCGCTGTAGAGAATTACTTAAAGCACTAATTTAGCCATGGTCACCAGCTAGCCTGTGTCAGAAGCAGGGCTTCTTTTACCCTACACCAAACTGTCTCTCTCTATAAATACATTGGATTTTTTTAAAATTATCATTATACAAGAAACCATACCCTTGGAGACCAGACTTTGAGAATTGTTCTACAATAAGCATCCACAATTCTGATTCCATTTCCAACTCACTGTTTACCATTCTATACTTACATTTATTCCTCTGTTGATACTAGCAGCTTCTGTCACCATTGTATACTTCGAGGACACAGTGAATAAGGTAATATTATAGGAAAAAAAACAAAGAAACAAGCATGAAGTCTTAGGGAATAGGAGTAATTAGAAAGTACCTACAAAAAGCCAGGTGCTGTAAAAATGTAACATCAAAATGAGGTCAGTGGTAGAAACAATAAAGCCAGTCTGTTGAAATCATAATAACTTGGTTCTCCTAGTGAATAGTGAGTGTACCTCACAATATCCATTCATGTAGTTCATTTAGGACCAAAAAAGGGCAAGGCATTTTTAAGCAGAAAAAGTCAATAATGAGAGATACATTTTATCGGCCATGAATAATACATATTAACTGTAAAATGAGTTATAGCTCCTAATTTACATTATTATGAAATCATAGCATATATAGATTTATTTTTCTGTGATGAGTAGGTTATTACAGAAATTTATCTTTCCCCTCAGTAGCAATGTATAATATGCATTTAGGTTCATTAATGGTAATAATCACTAGCTTTTTTTAAAAATTACTATCCTCACCACCTCCTTAGCAACTGTCCCCTACTTTTGCCAACAAAAATCTGACTTTCACTTGCTTGACCTTCGGAGACCCAAAAATATGAACACTGGGCCTTGAAATTCCTCCATTAAAAATACATGTCTTTATCCAGATGAGCCCCCCCCCCAAAAAAAAGTCATGCTTCGGTGTAAATTCTCCAGAAGTCTCTTTTAAAACGAAAATAGTAGGGAGGGAAGGAAAACTTCAGGGCACAAGCATCATGGCATAGTGAAAACAAAGCTGGAGTTAGATTTAAGAGACTTGAGTCCCAGCCCAGACACTTACTAGCAGTGGCACCTGTGGCAAGATACTTCCCTTCTCTGAACCTCAATTCCCTCATCTGTAAAATGGCTATAATAATACTTTTGCTTTTGTGGGGAAATTTTTCCTTTAAATCCTTAAGGGCTACAGAAATGCTACCTATGAATGAGTCTCAGAGCAGCCTTTCTCCCAGAAGGTATCAATGCCCTAAGTTGATGGGAAAACAGACATAGAAATGGGAGGTGGGGCAATGGAAGACTAAGTGCCAACGTTGACTTGAGCATTTCATAAAGCTGTGCTTGTGGCCAGTGGTCCTAAGTAACTCAGACTCTCCCTTGGCACCCTCTTATTCACCCAGCCCCCGGGAATCATGTGACCTGATGTCTACCAACACCTCAGGGGTTGTAAGAGATTTCATCCTCGTGGGCTTCTCTCACCTCATGGGTTTCCAGGGTCTCCTCTTCGCCCTCTTCCTCACCATCCACCTGCTCACTGTGGTTGGCAACTTCCTCATCGTGGCCTTAGTCTCAGTCGACGCCAAGCTCCATTCGCCGATGTACTTCTTCCTCCGCATCCTCTCGGCCCTGGAGATCTGCTACACCTCCGTCACCGTCCCGCTTGTGCTCCACCACCTCCGGACCGGGAGGGGCCGGATCCCGAGAGTCGGCTGCGCCCTCCAGATGTTCTTCTTCCTCTTCTTTGGGGCCACTGAATGCTGTCTCCTAGCCGCCATGGCTTATGACCGCTATGCTGCCATCTGCACTCCACTCCGCTACCCGCTCCTGCTGAACCGCCGGGTGTGCCTACAACTGGCTGCAGGAGCCTGGACTTGCGGGGCGCTGGTGGGGCTTGGCCACACCTCTTTCATCTTCTCTCTGTCCTTCTGTGGGCCCAATGAAATCCCTCACTTCTTCTGCGAGATTCAGCCAGTGCTGCAACTAGTCTGCGGGGACACGTCGCTCAACGAGCTGCAGATCATTTTGGCTGCCGCCCTTATCATCCTTTGCCCCTTTGGGCTGATCCTGGTCTCCTACGGTAAGATCCTAGCCACAATTGTACGGATCCCATCTGCTGCAGGCCGCCGCAAGGCCTTCTCCACCTGCTCCTCACATCTGCTTGTGGTTTCCCTCTTCTATGGCACAGCCATCTTCATCTACATCCGCCCTAAGGCCAGCTACGACCCGACCACGGATCCACTATTGTCTCTCTTCTATGCGGTGGTTACTCCTATCCTCAATCCTGTTATCTATAGCCTTCGTAATGCTGACGTCAAGGCAGCCCTCAAGAGGACTCTTAGAAAGATGAGTTCCAAAGAGATGTAGGGCAGCGGTGATCACCACCCAGCAAACCTAGTGGAACGTTGTAAGGCAAGAAGAACCAGAAAAAAACAAAAGTTCCCACTACCACCACCAGCAGCAGCACCACCATCAACAGAACATCTAATCTGCTGGGGTGGACACAGTCCCTTGACCTTGGGAATTCCTGAATTTGATGAGGAAGACAGTGGCTCTATCCTTGAAGATGTCTCAGACTGAGAGAAACAGGATAAACAGAGAATTAGGATCAACTGGCTACTGAAAAGTACATTTGTATCTAAATACCAGGTCTTACTAGCTGTTGTACACACTGTTGTAAGAAATGTTGTATTACTAGAGTAACACATCTCCTAATCCCCATAATAATTATAACTGACATTTATATCATGCTTTATAATTTACAAAGGGCTTTCCTCAACACAACCCACGGAATCATGACAGGCTGGTATTATTATTCCCATTTCACATATGAAGGAACTGAGAAGTTAAATGACTTATCCCATTTCCCACAACTAATAAGTGATATAACCCAGACTCCAAGTACAGTAGTCCACTGCATTAAAATATCTCTCCATTTCAGGAATTCTTAAACTGAGGTCCATGCATTTTTTAATTTTGATAACTATTTCAATACAATTGGTTTCCTTTGAAATCCTATGTATTTTCTTTTAGGTGTTTAAAAACATTATTCTGAGGAGTTCATGGGCTTCACCAGACCGCCAAAGGGATCCATGACACACACTCAAAAAAATTAAAAGTCTTGATTTCAGAGTTTATGAAAATAAGAAAAGAGACCCCTGTAGAATGGGTGAACTGAAATCTTAAATGCTCATTTTGTCCTGGGGATCTGCTGCTATCTCTGATGATCCAAAGACCTCAAGTGTTTGCATGAAGTGTTAAAAAGCTAAGACTCAAGAACTAATGGCAAAATGTCCTCTCTCTTCTTTAATGCCAATAGAAATCCTATATCTTCTTTTGAGGTGCCTTGTTTTTCGCTATTTTTGTTATTTCTCTGACTAAAATTTGTTGGCCAACAAAAGACTCTGAGAATAAAACAGAACAGGGAAAGCTTAGGGGTCTATATGGTGCCGCAATGGAAGTCAGAGGAAGCCCAATGGCAGAGGAGATAGCATGTTGGAGGACCAAAAAGAAAAAAATTGAACTTTGCATTTTCACTCCATATGCTAATGATTCCCAGGACAGTCATGAGCTACAGGGGGAAAAAAAGAAACAAAAATAACAGTAGGGAGGTAGAAACAGTACAATTTGACAACTAATAGTATATATGGCATGAGTGAGAGAAAGGAGTTGAGGATGACACTGAGATTGCAAACCTGGTTGTTTCGAAGTTCAGAAAAGGGATAGGTTCGAAGGAAAAGATCATGATTTCTATTTGGGGCATGCTGATACCTATGGGACATCCAGTTCAAAATGCCAATTAAGCATTTGGTGATTCAGGACTGGAGCTCAATACAGAGATAAGGGTGTGTGTGTGTGTGTGTGTGTGTGTGTGTGTGAGAGAGAGAGAGAGAGAGAGGATAAGGGGGAGAAAGAGAGAGGGAGAAAGAGAGAAAGAGGGAGATAGAGATAGAGAGAGAGAAGGAGAGAGAGAGAGAGAGAGAGAGAGAGAGAGAGAGAGAGAGAGAGAGA